AAAAAAAAAAAAAAAAAAAAACAGAAAAATAGATAGATAGAGAAAGGGAGAGAATTGCGGTTCGTTGATCGATCGATCAGCAAAATTCCTTCCGGTTCAAATTTTCTTTCTCTTTCTCGCTGCAGATTTTGATTGAGAAAGCGGAGGAAGGAAAAAAAAAACCAGTTTAGGGTTAAATTTTCTTTTTGTCTGTTTGTTTCTCGGGAAAATGGTGAGGGAATCGCCGAGAAAATGTTCGCATTGCGGATTAAACGGACATAATTCCCGAACGTGTAGTAATTTTTTGAAGGGGAATAATAATTATAGTAATAGTAGTTATTATTGCGTTAAGTTATTTGGAGTTAATTTAATGGAAAACAGAGACGAATCTATGAGGAAGAGTCTCAGCATGGGGAATTTGAATCTTCACTCATGCAATAATGTTCTTGATCTTAATACCGCCGCCGCCGTCGCCGCCGTGAACAACGTCGCCGATGATAATTCCGCCTCCGCCGACAACGCTGGGTATCTTTCCGATGGGTTTATTCATAACAAGAGACGCAAAGCCGCTCATGAGAGGAAGAAAGGTTCGTAAGCTAAAATTTTATTTTCTTTTATTAATTTTAATTTTTTGGTTTAGTTTCTCCAATTCTTTTTTTTATTATTATTTTAATGGTAAGGATCCTTAATTATTGATTATCTATGCTCGTGTTTTTACTATATTTGTTCTTACAATTAGTAGTTTTTTTGTTTTGAGTTCAAATAATTACGAGGTTGTGGGTGGGGATCAAACCATCAAGATGGTAACTGGTGCCTATTTCGAAAAAAAATTATATTCATCCTGGCGTGTATAACTTAATTATTGTTAGAAAACCGGAAATTTTCGGATCTTAAAAATTTGATTGTTCGAAAATTTGTATAAGAATTTTAGATTGACGTGACTTGTATTATGTAGGAAAACCATGGACCGAAGAGGAACATAGAACGTTTTTGGCTGGTTTGAAGAAGCTCGGAAAAGGGGATTGGAGAGGGATTTCGAAGAACTTTGTAACTACAAGAACACCGACCCAAGTAGCTAGTCATGCCCAAAAGTACTTTTTGAGGAAGATGCATGCTAACGAAAAGAAGAAACGTAGAGCCAGTCTTTTTGACATGCCTGAAATCAAAGTAATATTTAATTTTCCGTGAGCTTATATAAACCGACCTCGAGTTTTGTCGAATTTTTTGTGATTATTAATGTTATTTTTTAAAAATACAGAATAATGTTCCCCAAGATTGCCAAGCTTCTGGAGAAACGTCACTGCCAAAGAACAACAATTCTGAGAATCAACGACAGGTGAAATAGATTAAACATTCTTGGACAATTTTTTTAAAGAAAATTAAATTTATAACCTTTCTTTGTTTTTAATCTATTTTCAGTAATTTTAGTTCTGAAAAATAAAATGTTTTTTTTTTAATTTACTGAAAATAAATTTTGTTGCAGGTCAATAATTTACCAGCACAACTTATCAATCGATTCCCTCATCTTTGTTTGGATGCTCCTCATTTTGTTCCTCCAGCAACTGGATCGGCAGCCTCGGCTGCTGCAAATTTGCATGGGATTCCTTATGTGGTAAGAACCCTTTCAGAAGCTTATTTATTTATTAAATATTCGCATTTTTTGACGCCACTTAATTCTAACTAATTAAGACATGTATTATCGGTAAATATATCAAATCATATGGTTCGAATCTTCACATATACATATTATTCAATTCAAAAAGACACTTCTAATGGTTCGGATCGAATCAACGACCTCATTTATTTAGTGAGCCGTGCTTGAACAACTCGATTTGATTTATGGGAATATTTGGTTTTGGGCAGGTGGGAGTATCCCCAAATGTTCCAATACTGCCTTTGGTGAATATTGGAAGAGGAGGAGGAGTCATGGCAATGCCAAAGAGCCCAAGGAGTCCCAACGCACCGATGGCTGGCCATCCATCAGGCATTCCTCCTTCGCCAAGAACCTCCCCAAGCAGGCCCATATTGCAGCAGTTGCAGCCGTCTGCCATAGCAGTGGCAGCCTCTAATTTCGAGGCAGATGCCCTGGAACTCAAGATTGGGCTGCCTCAATCTCCACAGCCACAAAACTTGTCATCTCAAACTTCTGGAGCAATTAGAGTTATATGAGAAGAGTAATAATAACAATACATATAAGGAATTTTTTTTTTTTTTGAAAATGTTGTGTTTTCAAATTTCTCTTCCCCCTTTTTCCAAGAAGGTTGATTAGATTAAGAAAAAGCTGTTTTTTTTTAAAAAAAAAAACAGTAAGTTTACTATTTTGCCCTCTTCTTTTACTCTACGAAATAGGTAATAGTTGCTTCGTGTGACCATCTCTAATGTACAATTTAGTCATGTGCCATGTTTGCGAACATGGATCTTGCTTGTAAGTTATAACCCTCCGATATAGTTGATTCTTACAAATTTATTATAACTTTGTAATTAGAAATCCTTTTATTGTTTAAATGGGAATGTATATTTTTTTCGTTCTACATCTATCGACGATGATTTAAACTTCTAAATATATCGCTATACTCTATGTATTTATACTTTATGTATTTATCTAGGGGTGTGCCGTATTAGAGTAATTATTACCAAAAAGACCAAAAAAGTATCTATTTTGTAATTTAAATCATATTTTGGTCCCTCAAGGGCGTGCACGTGCGAGCCGAGCCGATACTGTGTACGCGTGCGAAGCCGGGAACGGAGCTACAGGCGCGAGCGTCTTGATCCGGTTGGGCCGACCACGAACGCGCCCCGTGTTCGTTTGTGGGCTGGGTCAGAGGCCGAATGTGAGGGAACCCGACCCGATTCCAACCCGTGCCTTCCTTACCCGCAAGACAGCGAAACCCTAATTTCCGTCTCCCCGATTCCGACGACGGTCACGCAGCGCAACCTTCTTCGATTCCGACGGTCAACCTTCTTCGATTCCGACGGTCAACCTTCTTCGATTCCGACGGTCAACCTTCTTCGACGCAGCGATCCCGACGTCGATGCCTTACTTCCATTCGATTCTTCCTCCGAAACAGCACTCTAACGCTCCGAGAAACCCCCAAAATACCCAGTGAACCAACCGACACGATTTCCTTTCGAACGCTCTCGGTTTTCCGATCTCTCACACACACTCGGACACAAAAAGGTAAGTTTTGGAGAGAAAATTGTTTCCAGCGATGCTGAAAAGTTGTGCTTAGAGATATAAAACGGTCAAGAGACGATTCCCATTAAGGCAATAATTGTCTCGCCGGAAATCACTTCCGACGAGAACGAATGCTGCATTTAATACAAGATTGTATCATTTTTGGAAAGAAAAATAGAATCTTAATCGTTACATTATCTGTGTTTTCCTTTTTTTTTTTTTGAAATTGTTTGACTTTGTTTTCAGGTGAAAGACATGAAAGACCAACCTGAGTTACTGATACTGTATGCAACTCAAACGGGCAATGCACAAGATGCTGCAGAGAGGCTAGGCCGTGAAGCTGAGCTTAGAGGTTGTGTTGTGAGGCTTCTTTCCATGGATGAATATGATGCTGTAAGTTTTCATCTTTTCATTATCCCCTTTGTTTTGTCTCTAACAAATGAGATATTAGAATCTCTAAATCATAACCAACTATATGTGTACTTGTTGTTCAGTTGTGGTAAGGAAAACATAATCTCCTCAAATCTTTTTTTTTTATTCACAAGAATTTTAATCATTGTCTCAACCCTGATGAGTGATGATAGAGTTTGTAAGGCCCCAAGCAAATTTATGGATGCAAGGGGCAAGTACACTCTAAATGCTTTGATAGGTATTAAATTGATAGAACTGAACTATGAAGGAAGTGCTCGAAATTTAGCAGTTGAGATATAATGGTTAAATTGTTTGAATTAATCAGTAATAAGATTTCTGGAAAATTTATTGTTTGAATTTCTAACACTATATTAGGAGTTGCATTGTATTTGATTTAGCTTATCTATCAGATCTTTTGTATATCTTTGTTCAAAGCAATACTTCGCCTGCTCTAGTAACTTTCTTGTTACCATCATGGCGTGTAAAGTAATCTGCAGTTATTTATTTGTATTTAACGTTTCAGAGTTCTTTACCTCGCGAGGATGCTGTAATTTTTGTCGTCTCTACCACAGGCCAAGGTGAAACACCAGATTCCATGAGGGTAAATGAGTTTTTATTTTTTGGGTCCCAAAAATATTCTTTCTATTATTTTGTGGTACACTTTCATCATTTTCTTTGTATCAGGGATTTTGGAGGTTCCTTCTGCAAAGAAGTTTAAATCAGTCTTGGCTCAAGGGAGTACCTTATGCTGTATTTGGATTAGGTGATTCTAGTTATCAAAAATATAATGTAATATCTCTTCTCCTTTTCTTTGGAAGTAAAATTACTTCATGCATTCCCCCTTTTTTTCTACGCTACGAAGTTTATTTCATTCACGCATCTCAGACGTGCTAGTCTAGAATTTGATGATTCGAAATTGATTGGCTTGTAATTTTGAGGTATTATATGTTAAGGTACCTGCTAATGTACGCTACAGTTTGTTGCAAAAAAGCTTGACAAAAGACTTTCTGATTTGGGAGCAAGGGCCATTCTGGAAAGAGGCTTAGGTGATGATCAACACCATTCGGGGTAGGCTTCCTTTATTCTACTAATTTATTAGTTGAATGATTCTTAGAAAAAGCTATTTCTGTGTCTTTCCGTCTGATCTACCTTCCCCTTAAGTAATCCAGCCATGATCTTCAAACCAATAGGAAGTTTCATTAGGGATTGGTTTTCTTTTGTTAGTGACAACATTTACAACTGTAGTTACTTGAATGTTTTCTATGTCTTTCTGTGCTAGCATTTTTTCAACGATAGAAAGTTAATTGATCTGAAAGATCAATGCTCTATGGCAGGTATGAAGCTGCTCTAGATCCTTGGATGTTATCATTGTGGAGCTCATTGAGTGATACTAATCCAATGTTTTTCCCGAAAGGCATTGATTTTATGTTTTCGAGCGACACATTAATTGATCAATCAAGCATTCAAGTTGCATATCACAATGTGGGGAAGATGAATTCACAATTAACCTCAGGTACGCTAGTTTCTTGAATATTCATAATGAAGAGTGCAATAAAACGTCAATTGTATCCTTTCATTTTTGTTAATGAAAGTTTGATTTTTTATCCAAAACACGTAATGCAATGGAATAACAATTTATAAAGATGAATTTTCTACTTCTGGTCCTCTGTCCTGGTTCAGTTAATATACCATGTAAAAAATGGAGAATTCAGATGTTGGCTTTAATGGCAGATTTAGATTTCACTAAGCGAACAAATAGTGGATAAAAAGATGGCTATAGGTTCTGGACTTTGTTTACACTAACAAAAATCTTCTGATACCTGATCAGTTCAGCATCTACTTGTGTTTCTAGTTTATTTTGAGATAAATATACTTTTGGTCCCTAAGACTTGATTTAGATTATATTTGGGTTCATGAGGTTTTGTAATAACTCAAGCCCACCGCTAGCAGATATTGTCCTCTTTGGGTTTTCCCTTCCGAGCTTCTCCTCTAGGTTTTAAAACGTGTCTGCTAGGGAGGGGTTTCCACACCCTCATAAGGAATGTTTCGTTCGCTCTCTAACAAATGTGGGATCTCACAATCCACCCCCTTAGGGTCCCAGCTCCTCGTTGGCACACCGCCTGGAACTTGACTCTGATACCATTTGTAACAGCCTAAGCCCATTGCTAGCAAATATTGTCCTCTTTGGGCTTTCCCTTCCGAGCTTCTCCTCAAGGTTCTAAAATGCGTCTGCTAGGGAGAGGTTTCCACCCTTATATGGAATGCTTCGTTCCCCTCTCTAACCAATATGGGATCTCATAGGTTTCAGACTCGACATTTCAACCTTTTAAATTTGGAATAATCTCTTTTTGGGGTCTTGTTGTTAACATTTTTGGTTTTTGTTGTCAACTTTCAATCAATTAACGACAAGGAGCAAAAATGGTATTTGAAGCCTTTAAACCCAAATGCAATATAAGTCAAACCTTGGGGAACAGAAGTGTATTTTTTCTTTTTATTCTGTGAATGACATTCTTCTAATTGTTTATACAATTAATGTGATACTAATTTATCTTTTAGTAGCCTTCATACAATTTATTGACCACTTGATATTCCTCGTGTCTCTTAGATTTGAAGAACATGGAGATGCAAATTGAGAGGGCTCGCTTGATGTCTCCAGGAAAATTTTCTCATGGAAAGAAAAAACCTGATTGCCTTCTTAATATGGTATTAAACCGCTAATCGATCATATTATTTCACCTCAAATTCTGACATCAGTCAATATATATATATATATATATATATATATATAGATTTTTTTGTATATGGTTGTGATACAAGAGCAATGGGTATCATGGGATGGAAGCTGAATTCAGGTTTGAACCTTTGTGAACCAGTTTTTCATTTCCCCTATCGAGGTGATTGTCGATAGCTTCCTGATAACCATAATTCGCATTGTCTAAACTTCTTTGCAAAACCCACAAAATTCTTGATGAGGAAAAACTTGGCATGTCTTGTGGTGTGATTGATTAAGTGAACAGAATTGGTTGGGAATTCGAGATATAGTTTGCTAGCTTTGTAGTATCATACATGTGAGCATCTTACTGAACATAACTTTTATATTTAGGAGTATTTGGATCAGTTTGCGTACTCCTCAATGGTTCTCACAAGGCAACCACTTAGACAAAGAAAACATAAAATGTAAAGTTCATAATGTGAGACCCCAATAGTAAATACTTATATTATGTTATGAAGGGCAGAGAAGGAATTCGCTATGCCATTAGTCTCTAAATGTTGTATGGAAGTATAAATATATTTTGTGATGTTTGATGTTAGAGTTTAGGGTTTAGTTATATGATGTCTGATGTTGTGTTACGTTATGTTTTGTGTCATTAGCTTAGGAGCTATGGTTGTAAGGAGGATTAGACCCCTTCTTAAATTGGTGGTTTTGTGTATTGTGCTTTTGGAACGATCAGAAGGAGAAACCTTACAAAGTGGTATACGGGTCATCTTCCTTGGAAGGCTAGGGAAGACATGTAACAGCAAGTCCAAGCCCACTGCCAGTAGATATTGTCCTCTTTGGATTTTCCCTTTTGAGTTTCCCCTCAAGGTTCTTAAAATGCGTCTCTTAGGGAGAAGTTTCCGCACCTTTATAAGAAATGTTTCGTTCCCCTCTCCAACCGATGTGAGATCTCACAATCAACTCCCTTGGGGGCCAGGGTTCTTGCTGGCACATCGCCTGGTGGCTTTGATACCATTTATAACAGCCCAAGCTCACTGCTAACAAATATTGTCCTCTTTGAGCTTTCCCTTTCAGGCTTTCCCTCAAGGATTTTAAAATGCGTCTCCTAAGGAGAGGTTTCCACACTCTTATAAGGAATGTTTCGTTCGCCTCTCCAACCAAAGAATGTTACATCTCCTACTTTCTTTGTCTCAGTTCTGTGGAATAGAAATTTCATTTTTATCTTGAGAGTTCTTAGCAATATTTCCCTTTCATATTCTAAATTCTCAATTTTCTTTTTCATGTAGATAAAAAATCAGCGTTTGAGTAAAGTAGGCTCTGGAAAGGACGTGCGCCACTTTGAATTTGAATTTGTTTCTTCTGTAAGTTGGTAATTTCCAATTTTTCATTACTTATTTTTTATTGTTTTTTTATGTGACTCAGTGATTGCATTTTGAACTAATTTTAGGTAATAGAATATGAAGTTGGTGATGTCCTTGAGGTTCTTCCCAGTCAGAACCCTGCTGCTGTAAATGATTTCATACAACGTTGCAATTTGGACCCTGAATCATTTATTACGGTAAGTTTGGTTTATCAGTTTGTAAATTCTTGAATCATCTTATTTCAATTTTTTTTTTTTTTCGGGAAATACTCAAAGATTCTATTTTCATTGTGTGATGTACTTGTGCTAGAAAATAGGTAGTGGTTGGTTGTCCTCCCCAACCGATGTGCTAGACAGAGGTTTCCACACCCTTATAAAGAATGTTTCGTTCTCCTCCCCAACCGATGTGGGATCTCACAATCCACCTCCCTTTGGTGCCCAGTGTCCTCGCTGGCAATCATTCCCTTCTCCAATCGATGTGGGACCCCCCAATCCACCCCCGTCGAGGCCCAACATCTTTGATGGCACACCGCCTCGTGTCCACCGCCCTTCGGGGCTCAATCTCCTCTTTGGCACATCATACGGTGTTTGGCTCTGATACCATTTGTAATAGCCCAAGCCCACTGCTAGCAGATATTGTCCTCTTTGGACTTTCCCTCAAGATTTTTAAAACGCGTCTGCAAGGAAGAGGTTTTCACACCCTTATAAAGAATGTTTCGTTCTCCTCCTCAACTGATGTGGGATCTCACAATCCACCTCCCTTTAGTGCCTAGCGTCCTCGCTGGCACTCGTTCCTTTCTCCAATCAATGTGGGACCCCCCAATCCACCTCCTTCAAGGCCCAGCGTCCTTGATGGCACACCGCCTCGTGTCCACCCCCTTCGAAACTCAGCCTCCTCGCTGGCACATCACACGGTATCTGGCTTTGATACCATTTATAACATCCCAAGCCCACCGCTAGCAAATATTGTCCTCTTTGGACTTTCCCTTAAGGCTTTTAGAACACGTCTGCATGGGAGAGGTTTTCACACCCTTATAAAATATGTTTCATTTTCTTCTCCAACCGATGTGCAATAAACAAAGAAAGTTTATGTTTCTATGAGGCTTACTCTGTCGACATTAATCTTTAACATTATATGAAAGGTTGCTGTATTAAATCTTCTACTTACCAAATAACACTTCTAATTTCAGATTTCTCCTAGAAATAGGCGCAAACAGGATCCCATCCCAACTGCTACCCAAATGGTTCCTATCAAATTGAAAACTTTTATTGAATTGACAATGGATATTGCATCAGCTTCTCCTCGACGCTATTTTTTCGAGGCAAGTCCTTCGAACCTCTTCATTTTTTCATTTCTCTCATTTTGTTTTCATGGTGTTCAGATGAAATTACAACCTTGCTTCTGTTTTATTTATTCATTTATATTCCCGAACATAATTTTTCTCGCAGGTTATGAGTTACTATGCAACAGCTCCACATGAAAAGGAAAGACTTCAATATTTTGCGTCACCTGAAGGAAGAGATGATTTATATCAGTACAATCAAAAGGAACGAAGAAGTGTTCTTGAGGTGATTCCAAACATTTAAGTAAATGCATGCTGCCCCAAATATTTGTGCTACATTTTTCTTTTAGCTTAAGATATAATACCCAATAGAGAGCTAGAAGATGAAATTATCCCATTTACCTGTCTTGGTAATACTACAGGTATTAGAAGATTTCCCTTCTGTGAAAATGCCATTTGATTGGTTGGTTCAGTTGGTTCCTCCATTGAAATCAAGATCATTCTCCATATCTTCTTCCCCTTTAGCTCACCCGAATCAGGTGCACTTAACCGTAAACGTAGTATCTTGGACGACACCTTATAAAAGGAATCGGTTGGGTCTTTGCTCGAGTTGGCTTGCTGGACTTGATCCCGAACAATGTACGTAAAATAGAACTCGGCATGTGTTATTTATGTAGCACACTTGATGTATATATGAATATGTTTGATACAGGCGTTCGTATTCCGGTGTGGTTCCATAAGGGTTCGCTTCCCGCTCCATCCCCATCTCTTCCTTTGATTCTCGTTGGACCCGGAACAGGTTGTGCACCCTTCAGAGGATTTGTAGAGGAAAGGTCCATGGAGAATCCCTCCATGTCAACTGCTCCAGTTTTGTTTTTCTTCGGTTGTCGAAATGAGGACAACGACTTCCTATATCGAGATTTCTGGTTATCGCATTCGAAACATCACGGAGTACTATCAGAGGAGAAAGGTGGAGGCTTTTATATCGCGTTTTCCAGAGATCAACCGCGGAAGGTTTACGTGCAACATAAGATGCTTGAACAGAGTCAAAAGATTTGGAACATGCTTAAGGATGGTGCTGCTGTATATGTTGCAGGCTCTTCCACAAAAATGCCTGCAGATGTATGGTCAACTTTCGAGGAAATTATATCAAAAGAAACTCGGGTTCCACGGGAATCTGCAGTAAGGTGGCTAAGGGCGTTGGAGAAGGCTGGTAAATACCATGTTGAAGCTTGGTCTTGACCGAGAAGAGAAGGCGAGAAGCTTGACATGGAAGATCATATTTTATGAAAATCGGACTTTCTTTAAGAAAAGATTTAAGAATACCGACATAACATGGGAATTTGTTGTATTTCATCTTATATTCTTTTGAATGCTATAATCAAACGGACCATTGTGAATTGAATCCGTATACCATAAAGAAAATATAAATCTTTGTTTTTGTGAATATGTGCTAATTACTATTGTGGCGGCTGGATTCAAGCCTAGGTCTCTAGGGCAAAGACACAGGGAATGGAATGGGTTATTTCTTAACGGTCAAGATTCGGACCTACGACCAATCGATTAACAGCTGATTGCTCTACCACTGAGCTACTGAGGAACAACAGTAAATTAGGTTTCAGAGAATTCAATTCCCGTTCTCAACCCATGACCAATATGAGCTCGAGGTTTCCTTTGTAACTCCCGAAACTTCTTCGTAGTGGCTCCGTTCCATGCCTCATTTCATAGATAACCTCAAAGTGGCTCTATTTCATTATATTCTATTCATTTAATATCCCGTGGTGTCATTGAGATAAGAGATGTCGTTTCTAGTCTATTTGTTTCTATTTCTATATATATGGAAAGTGAAAAAAATTATCATATATATAATAATCCAGAAATTGCAATAGAAAAGAAAAAGGAGGTTTGTGATGATTTTAAAATCTTCTTATCTCTTCCTTCTCTGAGCTCGGGTTATGGAAGAAGGAACCGAAAAGAAAGTATCAGCAACAACAGGTTTTATTACGGGACAGCTCATGATGTTCATATCGATCTATTATGCTCCTCTGCATCTAGCATTGGGTAGACCTCATACAATAACTATCCTAGCTCTACCGTATCTTTTGTTTCATTTCTTCTGGAACAATCACAAACACTTTTTTGATTATGGGATCTACTACCAGAAACTCAATTAATCTTAGCATTCAATGTGTATTCCTGAATAATCTTATTATGTGTCAGATGGCGGCTAGGATTCGAGCCCAAATCTCTACAGCTACAACGTGAAATTCTCCCCACTAAACTACAGCCACACAATTAATATTAAGATTAAATGAGCAAGATTAATTTAAAATTTATGGGATTTGAGCCCAGGTCTACACGGCCTATTGCCACACAATTAATATTTAGATTAAATGAGCTAGATTAATTTAAAATTTTTTAAATAAAGTAACTAAAACCAAATATGGCATGAAGATTAAAATGTGATTCAAGTTCATAAATTTAGTATCATTAGAAAAAAATCAGCAATTTAATTTAAACAAACCATATATGAATGTGATCAACATGACTTGGATCACATTGGATGCTGTTAAACAATAAACACAAGCAAAGTATACAAGTGATGTGCATTACCGTTCTAAAAGCGTTGGCTTCAATTTCAGATTTACCCTGTGAACAGTATGCCCTCCGACGAATACTCTCCTCGATCGTTGAGCTTCCTCCCTTCTCGGCACCATACATACGTTTCTGAGCAGTGTCTAAGAAATTTCGGCTCGAGGGCACTGCATTTTGTTCGGCTTCCAGTGCATCATCCACGGCTGCCTTCTTCAAACGCCTCCATCTTTGCTCTTCATGGAACTCAGCATCCTGCTGCATCTCACTCAGCCTGGCTGCACGCTCTTCTTCTGAAAGCTTGGTAGCAGGCCTACGATGCTTATGGCGTGGCTCGAAAGGAGTTTTAGAAGCATTCGGTTCATAAGTTCTTGATTCCCCCACTCTTCTACTGTCCTTTTCATTGCGAGTATAAGAATCTCTGTCTCTCTTTGAACTGTCATGATGTCTCTCTTCTGCATAATAATCATGAGGATTTCTTTTGGGCGTCTTTCGATCTGACTGATCAAATTTTGAGCCTCTATCACGATCCCTCTCATTCATATAATCAGTTTTGCTTCTTCTATCTTCTGAATAAGAACGAACATCACGTTTTGAACTCTTGTCACGATCATGATTCCTTCTCTGCCTCTCAGGGCTGGCACTTTCAGAATCATGATTCCTTCTCTGCCTCTCAGGGCTGGCACTTTCAGAATCATACTCCCTTTCTGGAGAAGAATCTTTACGACGTTTTGATTTACTATGGCGATGCTTCATCCGTTCTCTTTTGTCATCAGGATTCTTGTCCTTGTGTTTTTCCGCTTCAACCTAATATATTTTTAAAGAAGAAAATACCTCAGATCTATTTTTCAAGTCAAACAAGAGCTTGCAGATAATACGATCATGAGATAAACTGAGATTCTATTACAAGAATGAAAATTATTGTACAGGAACATTCTTGATATGGCAGTTCATTATTTGTCAGGGGAATTGTTTAACATGTGATAAGGAATCAACCCAAGGGAAATCTCTTATTCCTTATCATTTGGTATCAGAGCTTTAGGCTCAAGATAGAACGATGTATGTTGTATTTGTAAGGAGACTTGACAAATGCAGAAAATGAGCATTTGTGCTTTCCTTTAGCAAATGACTAAGTTTCCTTGCAATTCTATATAGTTTAGATTGCATGTTTAGAATCATTTAAGTTAGACATGATCATCTTGCTTGTAGAGTGATTCGAATTTCAAATAAGTGTTCTTACCTTGAGATATTCGATTGACAAGGTAATACGAATCTTATTTCCTTGTAGTGATTCCTTATCATTTGGTATCGATCAACAAGGTAATACGAATCTTATTTCCCTTGTAGTGATTCCTTATCATTTGGTATCAAAGCTTTCTCTTGGATTGATTTCTTATCAACAAGCTGCCACTTTTGCCACGATTGACTAGTCATGAAGATATACCGAAAGAAACTTTCTGATCATAGATTCATCTCTAGCTCCTATCGACAGGGTGAGAAATGCAGAGAAATCCATTACATCAACTCAAAGGATAACTTGGAATTAAGATAAGCCACCAGCTTTCTTTACCACAAAGTGTTCATGAACATCGTTCAAAAATTTTCTCAAGAAAATAATGAATGGAAAAGGGAAATTTCAATATAATTTCCATAGCCCGTGTTAGAACAGTAAAAGTTCTAGAACTTGATAGTGGTTAAAGGGATGTAAGGAGGAAAAAAAGCACAAAGGAAAAAATGAACTTACAGTCTTGCGAATCATAGCCATCGGAATAGGATTGTTCTTTACGCGTGCAAGAGCTTGTTGCTCACGCTGCCGAATAATGAGCAAGGGATCAGAATGGAGCTTCCTCCATGCGTCATTTGCAGAATGAGGCTTATCCTCAAACAGAGCACCGGGGGCAGCGGCTTCCTGCAGAAACAACACAAGAAAGCAACAAAAAAAGTCATAATTGAGCACCACGAAGAGATAGCCAAAGCACACAAATTAACAGCGAGTGCAACTGTACCTTGGAACTAGATGGTTCAGTGGCAGCCGGAGCAGTAGATGTAGTAGGTAGAGTTTCGAGGCTCTTAAATCCATCGGAATTGCTACCTTTCCCGACTGCCAAACCCGATTCATAAAGAAAATCCAATCTTTTCTGCTTCCTGTAAAAGCCATATCGTCCAGAATTTAAATATTGCTCAAACCAACATAGTCTTGTCCTAACCCTAATCTGGAAAAATGTTTAAAGCGCAGGAGGAAAATTATGTTATTTATAATCAAATAAATTATAAAAATATGAAGAAAATGTAAATATTAGATATTTGTCTTATAATAAAATATTAAATATAATATATGGTAAACTATAATTTATTACTAAATATTTTTAACTCCCCACCGCAAGTTAAACATCAGATTTAAACGAACGTGAAACTTGAATCTTAATAATTCAAAGAGGTTGAGAAATACTTTTCGTGAAGATGTCAACAACCTGGTTTAGAGGAGGCGTAGAGAAACACCTTTTTGGCCATTGAAAATTGTAGAGGGATCGCCGCTTAGCGATGATGCTGCCTTGGCTTAGACGAGAATATGTCTAACCCATGAAGAGGGATTCCCGCTTAGCAACGATACTGCCTTGGCTTTGGTGAGAATATGTTTAACCCTAGAAGGGGAAAACCTAGAGCAAGGGACAAAGACAATGTTGAAGCCGGAAGAGTCGCCACATTGGGCAAAGGAGCTAATTTTGGCGAGATGGGCAGTCGGAAGAGTTGCCACATTAGTTGGGTGAAGGAGCCAATTTTGGCAGGAAGGGCGATGGCAACTTGGTTGGCGAAGAGGCCAGTGCGGCATCCAGATTTGCAAAAGGTTGATGGACTTGTCGAGATTCCGTATATTTCTGAAGATAACACGGATGAGGATTCTGAGATTAGGGTTTCTGAGAAAGATGAAGGGTTGATTGGGAAGAAAATGAGAGAGACTATATTGGCCAAGGAGAAAACCGTTTGTGTTGGAAAAAATGAGGTTGTATGTACAGAGTATGACGAAAGGTGATTTGGAGGTCAATAGGGTGGAGCCGAAGAGTAATCAATCGGCTCCGCCTGTGGCAGCCATGAAGACTGCCCCTACGGTGTCAAAGCCAAGTAGGAGTGGTGGAGAAGAAGCGTCAAAGCCAAGTAGGGGTGGATGAGAAGAAGATTAGAGGATTCAAAAGCTATTGAAAAGAAAGAATCTGTGTTGTTAAACCGAGAACGCTCTGATACCATAATAATGTTTGATTAATGGTAGGAAAGTTATCTTATTTATAATCAAATAAATTACAAGAATATGGGAAGAGTAATAAATGAAAATAACAATAAAAGGAAAAGATATCTATATTAATAAGGCAAATATCTAATATTTGTCTTATAATAGAATATCAAATATAATATATATGGTACACTATAATTTATTACTAAATATCTTTAACACTACGCAACGTTTTCAATCCTCATCTATTCAGAGATTGAATCGGGTTTGAAACTTATAGACTATGAATCAAATGCATAATTAAAACGGTTAACAACAATATAGAAGATAAAACATACGAATCGAGGCCGGCCAGATCTTGGAGAAGACGAAACTCTTGGCCTCCTTCTCCTCATGGATTTGCTCGCGTAGTTCGTCCAACTTCTTCTGCTCGGCCTCATGCTTTTGCTCCGCTTCCCACACGTTCTCTATATTCTGAGACTGTCAGTGTGCCATCCTTTCTTATTCAAGAACTTTAATGACATGTCTCGAACTAAAGTTTCAAACTGAGGATCAGATTTTCCACCACCGACACGAGGTGGAGAATTCGATTTTTGAATTGGACTATCACCGCCATCGCCGCCGCTGCCACTTCTTATAGCGATCAAATTTTCTATAATTCATTTGATATTTTGGACTCAAAATTTCGCATTATACATAAAATGTATATTTATATTTATATTTAATAGAATAATTAATTTTAAAAATTTTAAATGGTCAAGAATTTATCTCATAAAATAATATTTAAAGTTAAAAAGAAAACTAAATTTATAATGTTTTTCATAAAAATGCTTATAGTATAGTTTAATCCATCTCAAATTTATTTTTATTTTAAATCTAACTCATAATCTTTTTATTTTAAATCTATCTCAAAATATTCATTTTATTGTGAGGTTTAGCTCATAATTTTGGTATATATATATATATTTTAAATAAGAGATTCATTGAACTAAAAAATCTGTCAAGTTCAGTTTACACGTAAAAAATAAAAATAAAAAATTATAATTCTTAAAATTTGGAGTCGGTGTAAATTAACAATTTGTTTTTCTTTAGGAAAGGAATAGATTAATTTGATGGATTAGTGGAATGCTTTAAGTTATAGAAAGGGAAATTTTCTTTCATTTACAGGAAAAATCAATGCTGGGAAGGAAAGATTCCAAGGAGAAGAATTCGAATTCTACCTGCGGATCTTCACTTACCTGTATTTGAGATGAACAGAAAACAATGGTGCAGAGAAGCAAAACGAGCGGAATCAAATGAACGGCAGATTCGGCGAACTTGACTCGCGCTTTCTCTCGCTTCACCATCTCGGCGACCGGATCATTCATTGGCAGCTCATTGCCGTCAAAGGACGAGCACAATCGCGACGCCTGCCCTGACTTCGAGGACGGGGCCGAATGCGAGTAGTATTCATTGGAGAACGGTTCCAGCTCGTCGATCGGTACATTTTTCTCTTTTCTATAAATTTCTCTTTCGCGATGAGGAGAGAATGATACTGAAAGTGTGTCGGTGCGCAAGATATGGTGGTAACGGCAGGGAGAAAATGTAGCCGAAGCAAGAAGAATTGCTACTAATCTGTTTGATAAATGTCCTGACTGATGGCCGAGCACATCAATCGGTAATTAACTTGACTTTTCTCGAATCTGACTTTGTCTAAGCCTTTTGTATTCACTTGCTCATGATAAAATTATATAATCTATGCGTATATACTACATTGCATATAGGAGTCGAAATTCAAGTATCTGATATCTAATCTCTCAGCTGACAAGTGCTTGACTATCCAAGCCATGTTTAAATTGTACTTCAGGTACGACATAAATTAAGTTGATTTGTGCATTTTTTTTTCCTTTTCGAGTTCAACAATAGCTGAACGAGAATAGAACATCCATCTTTGACATGATAACTAATGTCTTACTACTAAGTTAAGTTTGAATCGTTGTTAATCGACTGAATTTAGAGTATGTTTGGATCGACTTTCCAAGTGTTTAACGAAGCGTTTCTAAGTGATTTCATATCTCTTGAAACGTTAATCGATTCTTACTCTAGAAGTTTAGAGAGTAGATGCTTAATTATTCAAATTATAATATTCATTTGATATGAATTGAAAACAAGAAAGGAAAAAATTGAATAAGTCATGTGCAGATGCATATGAAAAATAATCTAGTATATATATTAAGAAAGAGAGCAAACACCACATATAACATGTGGTGAAAACAGAAGCATTAAAAAAAACATATAAACCCTTGAGACAATCCCGGTAACAATCTCAGACCCCCATAAAAAATAGCTCTGTTATTGGGCGCACACAAGAAAAGGGAGGAAAAGTTGTTTGATCCTATGCTACCAATCGCTGAAGAGAAAAACTCTTTTTTTTTTTTTTTTTGTCTTCCTTTCTTCCTTATGCAACCTACTTTTATTGTAATTAATATATTATCACCTTCATAATAAGATAAACTTGATTCAAGCATCATCAGTCTGAAACCTGAAGATTAATTCTGGATCTTGAGTGTGTCGATGAAGCTTTTTCCTTCTGCAAGATCGTTGCTGGAGAGAAATTTGAGAAAATCATTGAAGCTGCTTTCTTTATACTTAATAGGATTTTGTTCATCCACAAGCTCTTCTGCAGGCTTCATTTTCTCGTCCATTCCCAAGCTGTGTAGACTGGAAATGGAGATTCTTGTTCTCTCAGAATTGACAATGGCTCTGTGGACGACACCCTTGTAAAGCCCATTGCTTAGAACCTCCACATGATCGCCCACATGGACCTGCAGACTGCCATCAACATTAGGAACCATCTTCCATTTCCCATCAGCCCGGTCCATGATTTCAAGTCCCTGGCTGCTTTGTAGAATTGTGGTTATGCAGCTGTAGTCTGTATGTGGTGGCAACCCAAGTGCGACCCCTGGCTGTGGACATGGCGGGTAGCAGTTTACTGCCACTACCTGGACTCCTTCAGCCATTTTGCTGCTGAGGTATGGTCTTAAACCCAAGCTTTCAGTTATGGCTTCCTCTATCTCTAAGCTTACTTTTCTCACCTCCTTGGTGTATTGTCCCATCTTTTCCCTGAAACGGTCATACACATACATATATATAATATGTATATATATACACGTAAAACACAAGGACATATCTCTGAAGAAAATATGCACCTAGGATCTTATAAAATTTTAACTGATGTGGTTTTCTCAAAGTAAGAGATTAAATAATAGTTTTTTTTTGGGGGGGGTGATTTTTATATTGATATTTTAATCAGAGATGTCCATATTTTTGTCGGTAAGTAGTGCTTTCTGTCCTGTTTTGATTGTCATTTATTGGTGAGTGCAATTCAAGTCCTATATTTATGGTTCATTATAGAAGAATGCTCAAGTATGCTGAGTATGCATAAAAAGAGTCCAAACTTTTAGACCATACTCAATGTTAGCATAATTAAAAGTAACATTGTTAGCTGAAGTTCTGGTTCATAGGCGTCAGCATATGCATAGCGGTGATCTCTTTGGCGGTCCAATGGTTTTATTGTATCTTTCTGTTGAATTTCATTGTACAGCCTTCACATGTAAGTAAATTTTGCATTGTAATCAGGAAAAGAAAAAGAATGGAAATTGGGTCAGAAGTGGAGAGGGAGAATTAAAATATTGAGTTACCTATAAGTATGTGGATTGGTGGGCCAGGAGTCTACCCAATCTTCCAATGGATGAGCATAGTGTTTGAGGAAAACTCTCCAAAACTTTATTTTGTCTACTCCATCTTTCAAGCTTGTTCCATACCTGACTGCTTTGCTAACATCATCTGACTTATACTTCATCTTCTCCTTTAGTGGTAAGTTAAAGAACTCCCTGGCTTGGCTTAGTGCTTCCTCCATCACCGTTTTGCTGATTCCATGATTGATTATCTGAAGAAAAACAGATTGAAGTTAATAGGTAGCTAATATAAATCTCTCCAGTTTCTAGAATCAGTGTAAAGAATTGAAACTTTACCTGAAAAAAGCCGAGGCTAATGCAAGCTTTTCTGAGCGCTTCAATGGCGAGGGACCTTTCAGCTGAATCATTTGATCTTAGAGAAGCCATATCAATGATGGGAACAATGGCGGTCTCTGGGGACAAACTCGGGCGCTGTGGGGTAGGAATCACATAAGCATTAGGGACATAGTTTAAGCCTTTCTCTTGTGCAGTCTGTCCTGTGGAAAATGACCCTGAACTCTCACCTCTTAGCCCCATGTTTTGAAGGTTGAATTTGAAAGGAAGGAGATGAGAAGATGAGATAGAAGGAAGACTAATACTGTGGTTTATATAGGAACCGCCGTATTTTTGTTGCTTTGAATGCAGACCAAAAAAGGATATCCAGTGAAAAGGGGGTTTTTGAAGAGCTTTCAACTACGATCCAAAACATTACTTTTAGCATAACTTGAACTTGTTTCTACTTTATGGGATGGGAACACAAACAAAAGGGACTGAAGTAACTTGTTAAACTTCAATTATTTTCCCGACAAAACTTAGGTCTATCTTATATTTAGTTACCCATCTTTTAGCTGCACATTTTTCATTGGATTTACAGAGGGTAAGTACTTTAAATTTATATGTCCTTTATATGCTCCACGAATATTATGGGATATTCAACCTTGTATGATCTAGTTGAATAATTTTTATTTTGTATCCTTTAGCATCCCACGATTATTGTGGAATATTCAACCTTATATGATCTAGTTGAATAATTTTTATTTTGTAACCATTAGGTTTCTTATTCATTCCGCTTGTGATTTTTGGAGTTGAGTTTATACTTTTATAATTTCATTTTAGGGTAATTTCCATTACCATTTAAAAAAAAAAAAAAAAAAAAAAACCAATCCCTTAAAAAATTCTAAATCTCTAATATAAGACAACAAAACTTAGTACATCCACCAAGAGGAAAAAAAGAAAAAGAAAAAAAAAAAGAATATCCTCATGGAATTACAAATGCAATAAACAAAATTAGAAACTTGGGTTAATTTAATGAAGTTTAAGTGATCTCAAAATATTTAATAATTTTGGTTTAGTAATAAATAGGAATAAAACAGAAGAACATTTAAGAAGATCATAGGACTTCTAGAATTGTGGTTAAGATTTATGAAATTTTAATTTAAAAAATAATTATCTCATAATAATAAGCTATAAATATGGGGGAGCCACCGCTTTGCAAGAAGCGGTTATGAGTAAAATGAGGAAGGGGAGAGAGAGAGAGAGAAGAATAAGAGTTTTTTTTTCCTTCTAATTTTTATATTTATTTTTTGTTATTTCAAATGAAAAATTCTACGCGGAACCGAGCTTTTGTCCACCTTGATGCTTGTGTCCAGGTGCGCCGGAAACTATTTTCGTCTGACACGTCATTATTTTACTTTGTAAAAAAAGTTTTATGGATTTACAAATTTAGAGTTCATCCATGAGCTAATATCATTTATTTATTTTTAATTAATTCTTAATTGGTTGAAATAGTATCCAATTAGATATTATTCAACCTTGATTAAACCAAAAATACCTAAATTAAAATAATATTTGAATTTATTTACTCTTCTCTATAAATTTTCTAAATCTTATCCACCAAACAAATTTTTTATTAAAAATAAAAGTAAAGAATAATATTTTAAAACAAGATATTTTCTTATTATAAAAGGATCCTGGTTCATATTGCCCCATGCACTTGGACGTCCACATAAAATGATACCCTCTTTCTTTGTATTCAAAAAGTCAAAAATATATTAAAAAAAGGGGGGAAAATAAAATAAAAAATACAAATAAAGTCTTTGCCTTGTCAATCCATTGCCTTCATTTCACATTGCAATGCCCCAATTTCCATTTTGACCTTACTTCATTATAATCTTAAATGTTTGAACCTATATCCACCCAAAATACTCTTATATTATTATGTTAACCTATAAAGTTGTTACGTCATTGATGAGCTTACATCTGTATAATCAATATGTACTAAAAATTAATATGTATACAAAGTACTTTAATAACAAACTCCTTAAAATAATATTTCCATAGACGGTAGAATGTTGTTACGTCAGGAATGAATCCTTATCTATATTTTTATCTAATACAAATATAGATATGCATCTATTTTGTCGTTCTTCACTCGTCTCAATATACATTAAGATAATCACAATATCATAGCTTATAAAACATTTACTAGAATCATAATTACATAAAATAAGTCATTTTACTCGGATAGATTTAAGAGATATTTACTTGGATAAATTTAATAAAAACCTAAATAAATGCTCAAATATGTTAATTATGACTAAAAAAATATTTTAATATAATGAAAAAATGGTTAATAAAACTTATGACTATTTGATCTGGAAATCCCTAATAGATTTTTAAAAAATTTTAAAATTGAAGATATTATTTATTTAATAACTTTTAATTTGAAGGAATAAAATTAATGATCGAATTTAACGAATAAAAATCTAAAATAAAATAGAGACATTTTTTTTTATTTAAAAAAAAGAAAATGTTCCTGAAAATGGCAGTGGCCCTAACAATTTCGTATCAGAGGCTCATCCCTTGAGGAACAAGGCTTAACATTCCAACACGTCTCCCTCCCATCCTTCTTTCCACAATGCTCCGAAACTTAGCCTTACCCTCTGCGTCCTTTTCTTCATCGTCTTCTACCCTTCCTCCTCTGCTACTTCTCGTCTCCTCTTCCCTCCCAAAACCCTCTCCCAATTTCTCCAAACCCTTCTTCTCCCAATCCAATTTCGCAATCAAACCCATTTCCCCTTTCCCCAAAACCCTCAGACCCGTTTCTTCTAAAGGGCCCTCCATGAATCTCTGGACCAAGCTCGGATTCGGCTCCAGAGCCTCCGAGGCCTCCGCGGAGTCTTCGGCGATTGCGCAGGGTCCCGACGACGATATTCCGGCGCCGGGCCAGCAATTCGCCCAATTTGGGGCTGGCTGTTTTTGGGGCGTCGAATTGGTGTTTCAGAGAGTGCCGGGTGTCACCAAAACGGAGGTCGGTTATTCTCAAGGACATCTTCATAATCCGACTTATGAGGATATTTGTACGGGGCAGACCTATCACTCTGAGGTTGTTCGGGTTCAGTATGATCCTAAAGAGTGTAGCTATGAGTCTCTGCTTGATGCGTTTTGGGCTCGACATGATCCCACTACTCTTAATCGGCAGGTTGGTTGAGTTCTTAACCAATTTTTATGATGTCGTATGGTAATTGTCTCAATTCTTTGGGTTTCGTTTGAAATTTCTACTGGGCAACCTTTATTTTGGTAGTTCTTTTTGGGATTCTTGGAAAATTAAGGACATTATCAAGATTCCGATTTTTTTTTTCAAAATTAAGGACATTATTCCAATGGTTAGAGCTCCTATGTGTTTCAAATGGCACTTATGTGAATCCTTAGTCTCAATGTTTGCCTTGTTTCTTTAAGATTTATGTAATTATCAGTTGGGTATGCAACTTGTGTATTTTTAGGCTATTTGATCGACATATTTCCTTTTCATTGTCTTGTTATACTTCCATGAATAGTGCTTATATTCCTTCTTCGATGCCCTTTTGCTCCCTTTTTGTTCGTTGGTTGTTCATTGGGGCCGTGCGGGTAGGGGTCGAAACGTTAAATTCTAGGGAAGTTGAGTTCTTCTTGTGGCTTGTTGAGCTTGGAAGGATAAACCCCATTTACTTTATCGAGAGGTCTCATGTAGTGAAAACTTATGCAAGGAAGGGTAAAAAGTGGGAATTGATCTACTGACTGTTGGTACATGTAACACATATGTATGTGGGGGTGAGGGACAGTAGTATTAGCCCTCATGCCCGGGATTCGGCTTCGGCACCTGATGGCTCCCAGTATTTCCTTACATCCCCTACGACATGGTCAAATTACTTACTTCTAAGAGTGAAGACTATCCTCACGAACCAACACGGGTCCTTTCAGCATCTTTTGTTCTCACTCACATATTTCATAGGAATATTTCACTCATTAGAGAATTGCCCCAAGCAAATTATATTTAACTTTAGAGTTTCTAGGTAGTAACTTTCAATTCTTTTAAGTTTTTCTTAGTCATTCTATCCTTCAGATTGCTCTCATTTAGAGGTGGTATCAATTCATTCATGTATCCCTCATTTACTCGAGTGCTACATTGTGTCTATGGAGTAGGAGAGTTTACCAGCTTTCTTGGTGTTGGTTTCTTTCCGTTTTCTTGGAGCCTGTGTTACTGTATGAACTTGGAGGATATCTCCATTGTTCCTTTGTTTTTAAGTTATTTTCCTTTATATAGCAATCAAATAGCAAGGGATTATTTCACTGTTGGTCTGTTTTTGTGTTATGTGATCTTATTTGTGAGATCCCACATCGGTTGGGAGGAGAACTAAGCATTCTTTATAAGAGTGTGGAAACTTCTCCCTAGCATATGCGTTATAAAAACCTTGAGGGGAAATCCGAAAGAGAATGTCCAAAAGAGGACAATATCTGCTAGCGGTGGAGTTGGACCATTATATTATTCAATCAAATCAGTGATTTCAGGGGATGGACCCCACTCCGACCAGCATCTCAAATTACTTGCTAATGTTTGGATGACAGGGAAATGATGTGGGAACACAATACAGATCTGGCATATACTTCTACACTCCCGAACAAGAGAAAGCTGCTCTGGAATCAATGGAACGCTACCAGAAGTCATTGAACCGGAAGATTGTGACTGAGATTCTTCCTGCCAAGAAGTTCTACCGAGCCGAGGAATATCATCAGCAATATCTCGAGAAAGGAGGCCGATTCGGCTTCAAGCAATCGACTGCTAAAGGCTGTAACGACCCGATCAGATGCTATGGTTAGTTAAGCTGGTCTTGGCAGGTAATATTTAGTTTCCAGCTCCAAGATTATGGTATTCTGCAAGCTCTATCCCACATGCTTGTCATAAGAATCTTGAACGTATGTATGTATCTGTAATTGGTCTGGCTTTAATAATAAACCAATTTGTAGTTGCAATGATGCTTTCCCTCAATCTTTGATTCGAGTTTGATTTCAGAGTTTGGATTTTTTTCTTTTAGGGTTGATAGAGGATTAAATTTCCCGTAATACATTGACTTAAATTTTTAGACTCGTGATTTGATCGTACAGATCCTTTCTAAAAAAGATTATTTGAGGAGTTGTAATATAGGATGACGGGTGTGATTCGAACCTTCGAAATAGGGTCGTAATTTATGTTAAGTTACTTAAAATTTAGATACTAAATGGATTAAATATTGAATTTTTCTTTTTTAATAACCTAAATTTTCTTAAATATCAGGAACAAAACAATAGTGGCCAAAATTGATATGGAATGATATTTATTTTGAAGACAGCCCAGCCTGTACAAAACCCTAGGGCTCCATGGCCCAGTTGACAGTGGGCAACTTGGGTTGGTTGGTTGGTTAGGTCCATTTTCTCTTTTATCAATATTTTTACTTACCATATTTATTACCTTCCCTTAATATTCTCTCTCTATACTTGTTATGTTATTTTGAATTTTAAACTTTTTCTTAAAAAAACCAAGGAAAAAAAAAATAATCTAAATTGCTTACTCAAGCCGCACGTAGCTCGAGAAAAGCCAAATTTTCGTCTCTAGCCTCATTGATTCATCGAGTGTAGTGTTTATGTCAACGTTCATCTCAATACTAACTTTAATGTTGTCATTTATTCGTGTATTGTACATTACTATATTTTAATGAATCGATTCATTGTATGACTATGATCACAAGCTAGATGAACCGTATTTTGGTTCATAATCGTCAGCCAGATGATTAGCGTTTTGATTTTTTTTATCACATACTAAATGTTTAGTATTTTGGTTCATGGTCACTAGTTAAATGATCAGTGTTCTTGAATTCGATTAGTGTCATAGGCGAGATGACCATTTTTTTTAACGATTTTGAATTTGCATATATGCATATCTATCGAGTGTTTTTAATATTCAGCCTTTCAAATACGAGCAAATTTTTAAAAAAAAATGGAAAATGGAAAATATATTATAGTACTACACTATAATAGGGTGACTCATATATGGGCAAACTTTAAACAAGCTTACAAACCATATTATAATTAGAGATAGCTAAGGCTAACCTTACATCCTCGCATTTCCCCCCCATATAATTAGAGCTTATAACATTATCCATTCACATGCATTTTCTCTACCCATGCCTGCTTTTGTCCTTCGTAACGGCTGACGGAGGATACTCGCCGCCACTCGAATTGCCATATCCGCCGCCACTCGAACCACCGTACCCGCCACCATCGCCACTGTCGCCAGAGTTACCGTAGCCACTTCCGGACCCATATCCACCACCATGAGCCCCACCACCTCCACTTCCATACCCATATCCAGATCCCGAACCTGACCCTGAACCAAATCCATATCCATAACCTTTCCCGAACCCAGTCGCGGAGCGACCGGAACCCGACCCGTAACCCCAGCCACTCCCAGGGCTCGAACCCCAGCCCCAATTATAGTCCCAATTAGGACCATGGGCAGAGCCATAGCCCCCAGTGGGGTTCCCACCTCCATTGGGCGATCCCCAATACATGTCTGGAGAGTTGAGCAGTTTCCGACCGTGTACGGCGGAGGAAACTGTGATGAAGAAGAGAAGGAAAAAGAGAGGAGAGAGATGAAATGGTGATGGTTTCTTCATATTTTTATTGGGGTTTTGAGAGAGAGAGATTTGAAATTGTTAATTGGAAGGCGGAGAGGATTTGTGTTGTGGTGGTGATCGTCGAAGTGGCATTTATAGTGAAACCTGTGACGTACTTTTCACCTTTTCTTTTTATTATTAATTATTATTTTATTTTTTAATATTCATTATTATTTCCCGTTGAGTGCACTTGTCCATACTCCACAATTTTACCCCACAAAAACACCAAAATAAAAGTTATTAAATAATATTTATTTTTAGCATTACAATATATAAGATGACAAAAAAAACAAAAATAAAATAACACATCCTTAATATCAACCAAATCAAGTTGGTTTGATTGATTTGATTTTATAAAAATTTAAAATTATTTTGGTCTGTTCACATTTAATAATAAATTTTAATGGATGACAATTCACAATTTCTCATGTATGCACTATTTATTTATTTATTTATTATTATTATTATTATTATTATTTTTGTAATTTTGTATCGAAAGAATAAACTCTATTCCTAAAAAAGGTTATACTTCGTTTAATTCCATTTACAGGGTGTTGGCATAAAAAAGATAGACCTAATGAACCCAAAACTATGGCAACGAAATGGGTCTGCAGGCCTGCTACCCGACCAACTAAGAGCAACTCCAAACTTGGGAAGAATACAATCACATTAAAGCAATCAAATAAAAGCAAGACCTAATTGCTTGTTGCACTTTACGGAAGGAACGAATCTTAGCCAGTTACTGGCTTAGGTTTTTGTGAGAGCACCAGTAGGCGCATGTAGGTGGGTTCTCCCTTATTTTCGGGATGCAAACTTGGGTAGATTTAAGCACGAAAAATGAGTCATGCAAGAGACTGTTAAGTTAAGCCTTGTCATCTATTAAGAATATCCGTAATGGAAATTTATTATTGAAATATAGATTATATTCTTCTTCCTCCCTGACCCGCTCATGACAAACCATATCATAATAATATAATTATCTTTACGAAAAGTGGATATTGAGGTGGGTCTAATTCTCTTTCCAAAAATGGGGTTGTAACTTGTTGTATGGATGTATATGCTCATCTAATGAAGCTAGTTGATAAGGTCAATTTTCAAAGAGAAAAATATCTCTAGAGTCGGAGTTGAGTGACGTAACATCAATCTTTGTGCCCTAAACTTTTGGATTTAGATTGTATTTTTATTTAATTTTATTTATGAAATGTATAGTTATAAATTGATAAATAATCATATTCTAATTTTTTTAATATAATTTAATTAATATATAATATATAATTAAATTAAGGGAAATTAACACTAAAAATCGAAAGCAAACAAAAAAAAAAAAAAAAACCCTTATCATCCAAATTATCTTTAAAATAGTTTCATATCTAAAAAAAAAAAAAAAAAGTCAAATTATTTGAAAAGGATTTCTCTTCTATCTATTATCCTTTTTTGTCTCCCATTTTTGTCTCCCATTCTATAAATTTTCTTTATTTTTAAGTTACAAATTTTTATTTATTAAGCTAATTTTGATGTAAAAATGTTTATGAGTTAAGTTTGGTCGGATTAAGTTATTTTTTAGATTCAAACCTAATTGTTTGGTTCGTAAAATTTTTAATTCAAGAAATCCTTAAACCATAAAATATTAGGTTGGGTTAGCTTGAGTTGTTTGAACGATCCATGCATCTAAGAGTTAAAATTGTATCTCAATTTGTCCAATAATGAATATTCACTCCACAAGTTGCTTCAAATCACGAAATCATGTTTAAAAAGCATTTGGTTTTTAAATCTTTTTCAAACCAGAATGAGTTGGGAGTCATTTTCTACCTAAAATCTTTAGAATTTTTACGAAAAATATAGATACTAAATAGAAATTTATAAATTCAGACCATAAAGAGAAGAAAAAGAAAACGTCAATTAATGCTGTCCTTTTCAACTAAACATGCCTAAATCCTCATTTTATAATACGAGCTAAATTTTATAAAATACAAATATTAAATATTTTAACGAATTTACACATTTTTATTTTACATTCTTATACGTTCCTTACACTAAATATTATTGACATAGATAATATTTTCGAAGTAATTGGATGAAATTTTTATTTATATAATTGTAAAGATAATAATAATAATTATTATTTATATATAATTTTGTGGGTTTTTTTTAAGCAAAAAAAAATTGTGAATTTTAGTGTATGTTAGATTTTAACACCTCACTTTCAGTTAACCGACTAAAGGGAGTGGTGGTAGGCACCTTTGGATTTTAACAGTCCATTCCAGTAAAGCCACGTGGACCAAATGAAATAGAATTGGACCGTGATGGCATTTATTAGGACAGTTTCTTTTTTTTTTCTTTTCTGGGAGGATAATTTGTACCGTGACATTAAGTGGGAAAGAAAGATAACGACTTTGACTTCCATGTTCTTTGGTTGGACGGTTGTGATTCTCTTTAAATATTCAAACTCACCCCTTTAGTTTCTTGCCACGTGTACTCCACAATTTCTTTTTCTTAACAATAAATTTATTATAATATTTATATTTTAATTATAAAGTATTAATTAGCTAAGTTATATTTAAATTGTTTAGTATTATTACTCTATTTAAAAAATATGGAATTTGACTAAATATATATAATAATATCTTAATTAATTGAATTATATTTAAATATGGTATTTTTTTTAGTTTAATAATTATAAGTAATAATTGAGTTGAATTATGTTGATAGGTTAATTATAGCTTCAAATATTAACAAATATAATATAAATTTCAAAATATTGCAAAAAGGGGTTGACTTATTTAAATACCACTGGATTATGTAATGATGAGTTACATGCTTGATATTTTTGAAATTGCTGTGGACAAATTGGAATATTTAATAATTTTAGAAAATCTTGAATAAGTGGGTTTGGATATAGAGAATGGGTTTTGATATTTAACATAATAATAATAAAAAAAAACCATTAAAAAATAATATAATTTCTTAAAAGAAACAATTTTCCAATTATTATGGAAAATGTTTTAATTCTCGAACCAAAAAAATGGTGGAAAGTAGAGTGTTCAAGATGTTCCGTGGATCGAATAAGGTTTTTAGTAACAGCACCGAAAGATATAAAAATGACATGAATAACGAAAAAATCAATAAAAAATACCTTTTAATAGACTCGTAACATTCACTTGAATAAATAGTATTATTGAACCAATATGCATAAGAAAATTAATATTTACGAACTAATTGACCATATCAACATGAACATGAACATAGCTGAAACCCACTTCTATCATTACATAAAAAAAAAATAGTCGATCACATTTTCAAGAAATATGATTGAGAAAAATATATAAAAGGTAATCTCCTATACAAATCTTAATCATTGGATTTCGTTTACAAACCCTAAGATTATGAACTGAGATTGCTTTTCGAAATACCATCGATTATACATCATTTAGTTTAATTAATTAAGCCGATGGGTAGTTTAATATGTTATAAAACGAAGAGATCTCGAGTTCGATTCTGTATTAATTTTTTTCATTGAATTAAATTAATAACTTAATTTTGAACATAATGAAAGAAAATATGATATTACACAAAAATATCTTGGCACACAAAGAGGAAGGGGCAAAAGGAATAGAGCACTAGAATGGTTGAGAATCTAGGGGCACAATATATGCAATCATGGTCAGAGAAAACACATGCCTATTAACTTCCATAAAATATCAGAAAAAAGTGATGTGTTTTTTAAGGGCAGAATCCATGTGGGTGTCCTCTAAATTCATCCACTTGACCCACTTCCCAACCCATTAAATGGGGCCCATTATCCTCCCAATTTGCAAATTGTGCACATTTTAACCCTCCTTTTTTAATGGGCCCAATTCATTTACATTTCAAACAATAACTTGAGTTCCATTATGGCCCAAATCCATGTGCAATACTATCCCAATTATTTTCTTAATTTCTTCATTTTTATTTTCATTTATTATAAACATGTACCGAAAAATATTGTCCCCTCCACTTTTCAAAATAACTCAACCCACTACTAGTAGATATATTGTCCTATTCGAACTTTTCTTTTCGGACTTCCCTCGAGATTTTTAAAACAAGTCTGCTAGAGAAAGCTTTCCACACCCTTATAAAGAATGCTTTGTTTCTCTTTCTCTCTCCAATCGATCTGAGATCTCACATAAATACAATTTTTTTACTCAACAACGAGTGGAGGTGAAGGAATTTAAATTCTTAACTATATTCAAGTTGGTCGAGAGAGATAGTTAAAAACAAGGCTAAATTTGAAAATTATTGTAACAATCTAAGTTCATCGCCGGCAGATATTGTCCACTTTGGCCCGTTACGTATCGTCGCTAGACTCACGATTTAAAAAATGCGTATACCAAGAAGAGATTTTCACCCCTCATGAAGAATGCTTTGTTCCCCTCTCGAGCTGATGTGAGATCTCGCAAATATAAAATAAAATTATTATTAAAGAGAAATTAAATATATTTTCTAGGTAGAGTTTTCATTTTGGTTTTGCCATGAAGCTTGCCATTGCTTGTCATAGAAGGTGGCTTCTTCAGCTAGCTTTCTTAAGCCCTCAATATCTTGGGTTTGCCTAAACAGTAACACACCAATGACTGTCACAAAAAGGGCTGCTTTGCTTATGAAATTCCCACTTTGCCCAACTATTCCAATTCCTGTTAATGCGTCCACTAGATAGGCCATGAAGAACCCTATCATTGCTGCCCTACCTACACCAAGTAACGAACCAATTTGAGAAGAGCTCAGACAAAGTGATTCTCACACCGTACAGTCTTACAATTTTTTTTTTCTGTTAAAATTTAAATTTTTTATTAATTTATTTTCATCGAACTCATAAAAAAAAAAACTTTTTTTAAAAATATTTGGAGCTAAAACATATTAGCTAATTTTGCAATCGTCTCTAAAGTTTAAGGTTAAGATTGCAACATTACCGTTAAGTAGTTCGGCTTGTGGGAGGTAGGATTTGGTGAGCCATGCCCACCAAGGTATAATGGAGCTTCTAAAGAGCACAGGTTCTTGATTTGTAGCTGTTTCTGGATACAATTC